TGGCTTGTATATAATGTCACGCCTACTGTGACACATTGGCACTTGTAGAAGTATGGAATTGTGGCAAAATGTCCCACTCGGTGTGCTGAAAAGACTAAGTTGATGCCGAAATTGATATCAATTCTGGGTTAGAATAACTTTTAGTAGGCAAGGCGAAGTAAAATTCTACTCCACCGTAGGACCCAAATATATGTGGAAAAATCAAAATATCAGCAGCTATTATTATTCAATCTAGAGTGACTTAAACCTTTGTCCTCAATGTAAAAATAGAGCAGCAAAGAAGTATATAATTGTCTCATATATAATGAATCGATATCTATGAATAAAATCTTTTAATTAATCAATTAGTTAATCCTTACCAGCTAATACTGTATTGATGCATTCGTAAAGAAGTGACATAGCCGAAGTGCTTAAGGAAAAGAAATCAATTTCAACGATTAACAAATAACTTAAAAGGAGTAATAAGCATGAATTAAATAGAGATATATTGAGGCAATAGAGAATAAAATGGAGAATGCAGTCAAATAATCATGATTTATAATAACCCCATTTGAGAAATTAAGAGTCGGATAATCGTCTGCTAGGCTGTCACTTAGAAAGCCTCTAGTAAGAGTATGAAATTATTTTTCCCAGAATAGAAAACTTTTTTCTTAACTTTGCAAATATGAACTTTTCAGTACAATTAAAATGAATCCATAATGAAGCGGAGATTTTTATTAAGGAATAAAAACGCAGCCATTATGTACATACTACGTAAAATTAGCCATATCATTAGATTTTTAAAAATGAAAAATTGGGCTGAGGCACAATTATTAGGGATGGTTAGGTGTAAACCTATATAATCTTCATAATGGATAATATTTGCTCGTCAACTCTTAGCTAGCCAAGAATAATCATATAAAGCGCGTCCTGTTAATATATCATAGTAACGAGTTCTGATTAAAGTTTGCTTGCAGTAAACTTTAGAGTAACGATACAAATGTGGAGTGGCCGATGTGAGTAGGTGAAGAATGGAATCAAGTATTGAGTAAAAGATTTTGGGTATTTGAAGATCGGCGTTATATCAGATATGCTCAAGGGCATAGAATAGAAGTAGAATAGATAATTTTCCCATAAAGTTGGATACAATAAGCAACTTAGGTCTGAGCTAGAATATCATGTAATAAATGGTCATTATAAATAAAAATAGTATCTTTAGTAAAGATTTTCTAAAAAAAGATATGTAATATGAAATATTGCTGCAATTGTAAAATGAACCTAAACCTAGTATGGGGAAAATTATAAAGTATAATTCAAACATACCTATGAATAAGGTTTGTCAAGGGTTCGATCAACTTTTTACCTAATCGGGGTTCAAAGGGTGTAAGAGCGCCAAACTTCTCAAGGCAAAGCATGCGGTAAGAGATTAGATAAAATAAAGTTTAATAAAATCATGAAGCTACCTATGAGTAAGTGTACGAAAATAAGTGGGAAATATAAACTTGAAAAAAATAAGTTGAAAGCTAAGTGAAAATTGAAAAATAACTCAGGGACAATAAGAAAAAGCAACGAAAGTAATAAATACTGTATTATCATTAAGCAACAGGCTTGCTAGGTGCAATATTATAAGAATATATATAAAAAAAGATTAAAACAATAATTCATTTGTCGTGCGAGTGGTGATATATTACCAATTTAATTATTTTTATCAGGACCCAATTGTTTGTGGATGTATTCATTAATTTGAAAAATATCGGAGCCAAGGCAAGATAATTTTGTGGATTTTTTCTGGCTAGCTCGCAGATAACATTGACCGCAGCAGATTGGACACCTTAGGAATGAATATAAGATAGACAATTAAAATTAAAAGATACAACCGCTATAAATGAACAAGCACAAATAAATAATTATAAATGTACCCACCAGGATCAGAATCTTCAAGTTTCTCCTTAAGACGTGGAAAGCATATACGCAAAGCGTCTGGATATTTCAAAAATACACGATACATGAGCAATATTGCCTTTTTACGTAAATAAGGTTTGGAAGAATTAATCTAAAATATATTTTTGTAATAACGATTAAATGTAAGGAAGATTTACACACAAATCTCGAAAATAATATAAATGAAGATACTTACTAAACTCATTATATCACTATGCAGATCACGAGCTAAATCCGGGGTCATAAAGCATGCCAAGCCAGTTAGTGCCGTACTAGCTTCAAATAAATTAGGGCTATTTAGATCCTTTTGTCAATAAACATTTAGAATAATAGTT